CATTGCACTGCAGGACCTCTTCTTCATAGAGCCACTACTTTCAAGTGCAGGAGACGTAGCTGACTTTCCTAACACAGAAAAACAGACAACGCAAGAGACAGAATGAGGAGACAGAGGAATGTGTCCCAAATCAAAGAACAGGACAAAATCAGAGCAGGAGACCTAAGCGAAACGGAGATAAGTAATATGTCTGATAGCGAATTTAAAGTAACGCTCATAAAGATTCTCACTGGAATTGAGGAAGGACTGCAGGACTTCCTTGAGACCCTCCACCAAGAGCTAGGAGACGTAAAAAAGAACCAGTTAGAGCTACTGGATTTACTAAATGGAAATAAAAATAGACCATCTGGAATAAATAGCAAGCAAGAGGAAGTAGAAGAAAGGACCAGCCACCTGGAGGACAGAGTCATGGAAAGCAATCAAGCCGAGCAGATGAGAGAGGGGGGAAAAATACGCAAAATGAAAATAGACCCAGGGAACTGAGCAACGCTGTCAGGCCTAACAGTTGCATGATAGGGATCCCAGAAGGAGAAGAGCGAGGAAAGGGGGCAGAAGATTTGTCTGAAGAAATAATAGCTGAAAACTTCCTGAATCTGGGGAAGGAAAGAGAAATCCAGATCCAGGAGGCACAGAGAGCCCCCAACAAAACCAACCCAAAGAGGTCTGCACCAAGACACGAAGTAAATAAGATGGCCAAAAGTAGTGAGAAAGAGAGAATTTTAAAAGCAGCAAGAGAAAGGAAAGCAGGTACATACAAAGGAAACCCCATACGGCTATCAGTGGGTTTTTCAGCAGAAACTCTGCAGGCCAGAAGAAAGTGGCATGATAGATTCCAACTGCTAAAAGGAAAAAATCTACAGCCAAGAATACTCTATGCAGCAAGGCTTTCATTTAGAATAGAGGGAGAGATCAAGTTTCCCAGAAAAACAAAAATTAAAAGCAAAACCAGCCACGTCCCTGTCACACAATGCCATCGGCCTGTGGGTCCCAAATTCACAGTCCAGCCGCCCTCCTGCCCGAGTCAGCATGCGCGGCCTGCCACCTGCTAAATGCCAAGTCAACACACCTTCACCTCAGATTGCCAAGGGCTCAAATTGACACTGTTCCCCTCAAATTTCAGCCCCTGTACCCAAGTTTGTGCACAAAAGTGGGAATTATTGTAACAGCAAAATGAAGCAACCCAAACATCTATTTCTGTGGAATACAGAATGGATAAAAGGAGTGTGCTAGGCTGAGAACATCTCCAAAAAGCACATGAACAATACATACAGCATGATTCTGGTTAGTTAAAAAAAACCCAAAAACCTGGGAGGAATAAAACAAGATGAAACCAGAGAGGGAGACAAACCATAAGAGACTTCTTAAGCATAGGAAAGAAACAGGCTTGCTGGAGGGGAGGTGGGGGAGGATGGGGTGACTGGGTGGTGGGCATGAAGGAGGGCACGTGATGGAATGAGCACGGGTGTTGTATGCAACTGATGGATCACTGAACTCAAACTAATAATACACTATATTGTTAATTAATTGAACTTAAAATTTAAAAAAAGGAACCCCCCCCCAAAAAAAATAGCTGGAAAATCCCCAGGTATTTGGAGGCTAAACACATTTCTAAATAACCCATGAGCCAAAGCAATCAACAGGGAAACTTAAAAATATTTTTAACTGAATAAAAATGGAAACACAGCAACATTTGAGGGATGTAGATAAAGCAGTGCTTAGAGGGAAATGACTAGCATTATATGTTTATAGTAGAAAAAAACAGAAATCTAAAATTAACAATCTAAGCTTCTATCTTAAGATGCCAGGAAAAAAGAACAAATTAAACCCAAAGCAAGTAGATGACACTTTGCTGTAGAAGATGTGGGGACGGCAAATAGGCACAAGAAAACATCATCCTCATCATTGTCACTCACTGGGGAAATGAAGGCCGTAATGAGACCCCACATAGCTATCAGAACAGCTAGAAATGAAAAGAACTGAAAATACACAGTGTTGGCAGGATGTGGAGCAAGCTGGAATTCTCATGCTTTGGTGGTAGGAATGTAAAGTGGTAAAACCACTTCTGAAGTGGCTCAGCAGTTCCTCAAAACATTAACTATACCCTTACCATAGGACACTGTCATTCCTGTCTTAGGTATTTACCCAAGAGAATTGAAAACCTGTATCTACACAGACTTCTACACCACTGTTTATGGCAACTTTATTCATAACAGCCCCAAACTGGAAAAAGTACAAATGTCCATCAGCCAACAAATGGATAAATTGGTTGTGGCATATCTGTACCGCTAAATATTACTCAGCAATAAACATCAACACAATATGGGGCGCCTGGCTGGCTCAGTCGGGGGAACATGTGGCTCCTGATCTCGGGGTCATGAGTTCCAGCCCCACCATGGGCATGGAGCTTACTTTAGAAAAATGAACAGGGGCGCCTGGGTGGCTCAGTTAGTTAAGCGTCTGCCTTCGGCTCAGGTCATGATCCCGGGGTCCTGGGATCGAGTCCCGCATTGGGCTCCCTGCTCAGCAAGGAGCCTGCTTCTCCCTCTCCCTCTGCCTGCTGCTCCCCCTGCTTGTACTCTGTCAAAGAAATAAATAAAATCTTTTAAAAATAATAGATAAAAAAGAATGAACAAAATGTTTTTATATGCAATATGGATGCATCTCAGAAACATGCTGGGCCAAAGAATTCTATATACTGTATGATTTGACTTATATGAAGTTCTAGAAAAGTCGAATCTAGTCTTTAGTGACAGTAGACCTATGGTTTCACAGGGCCAGGGGTGAGAGAGATCCACCGGGGAGGGACACTGAAGGACTTGTGGGCTGATGGAAACATTCTGTGTCTTGATTTTGGTGATGGTTTCACAGGGGTACATTTGTCAAAACTGAGAATCGCACATTTAGAATGGGTACATTTTTACTGTATATAAATTATATCTAGATAGTTCATTTAAAAATCCAAATTTTAAAAACCACTTTTATATTATACATATTTACATGGTGACGCTTTGTGTCTACATGAGCATATACATGCAGCAGAGGATCTGGAAGGTCGAACATCAGAAAATTAAGTTGAAACCAGAGGCCGCAGTTGTCGCCTAGCAGTCGAACGAGCAACCCTAAAATGATGGGGACCTGGCTACTCCTGCTTTGAATATTCAAAGCCCTGAAGAAATCCTTACTCGTTTGTAGACAGATGAGGGTAAAGGCAGAGAATGCTTACAAGGTGCTGGCGCTGAGGACACACGGGATAAACAGGAACTGGTTTGGGACCAAAGTCCTGTGTTGCCTCCTCTTATCATCCGCAAGTTGCATTCCTGTCTTTCCCTATTTTAAGGGCCAGCTGACTTACCACCTTGAGAGAATCAGTGTTATGGGGGCTTCCGTTTGTCGGAATGTTTGTGTGTCATTCACTGGAGGTTATCTGGGTCCGCTCTCCTGTGGTGATGAACCTGCCAGTTACGATCGCACAGACCTAGCTCTAGTGAAGCAAACCAGTTAGAAAGCCTGTTACAGACTCGCTGGAAGTTAAAACCGGAAGGTCATTCCAACTCAAACAGGTTTTTTACCACCAGTAAATAAATTGACTAATGAATTAACTTTGAAACACAATGCAGAATCTTGATTATCTTTGTGAGTCAGAAGAAAAATGCAAATAAAAGAGATTTTGTTTGGGGAGATTCAGAATTATATTAAACAGTTCTGTCATTGCACACATAGTAGGTCAAGATGGTTTTGACGCTTATTCGATGCATTCCGACTTGTGAAGTTTTCAGCTCCTTGGCCCTACCGCTCTCCCGCCGGAGGCCCCGTTTCTCCCCACCCCCAGGTAGCCTCTCCCCAGTTGTTTTCAGGCCATTCTTACACCTACTCAGCCCTCTTCCTCGGCCTTAGCCCACATTTTCTCTTTTTCCCTTTCCTTTCTTGCCCTCACCATCTGTCTTCCATTCTCCTGTTTGGCCCTCCCTCTGCCCTCTCCCTTACCACAGTCCACAATTCAAAGTTGACCCTCAGCAACATGGGCATTAGGGACACCAACCCCACCTGCAGTTGAAAATCTGCATATAACTATTAATTCCCCCAAAACTTAACTACTAACAGCCAACTGTTGACCAGAAACCTTACCAATAACCTAAACAGTCCATTAACATCTATTTTGTATGTTATACGTATTATATACTATTTTCTTACAATAAAGTAAGCTAGAGAAAAAACGTTCTTAAAATCATGAGGAAGAAGAAAGGGATTTACAGTACTGTACCGCACTTAGTGAAAAACATCCATGTATAAGTGGACCCACGCGGTTCAAGCCAGTGTTGTTCAAGGTCAGCTGGGTATCTGATTGCCTGGAGGCTAACACACCCTCAGCAGCAGAGCTTCCTTTAACCCCCAGACTGCCTGATATTTAGTTTGAATTCCCAGGACTTGCGTGTGTCACATATTTATACTGGATTGTAAATGGCTCTGTGTTTGCGAGCATCCTATTGACCTAAGAGAGCATAAGGCACCTCTAAGAATGCTGAGCAAGGATCCCTCTCCCATGTATAATTTTTCCTCGTTCCAGGGGACGTAATGACTTAAGTGTTTATCTTAAGAGGGCAGTTTTTGTCACATTGAAAGGAAATTCTCTATATTTGGTACCTTTGGGTCCTGAACTTTTTTTTTTAAGATTTTATTTATTGTGAGCAAGCACACAAGCAGAGGGAGGGGTAGAGAGGGAGGGAGAAGCAGGCTCCCGGCTGAGCAAGGAAGAAGCCTGACGTGGGGCTTGATCCCAGGACCCCGGGACCAGGACCTGAGCTGAATGCAGACGCTTTACCGACTAAGCCACCCAGGTGTCCTAGGTCTTGAACTTTTGTCAAAAGTTTATCATCTTATTGTACAGTTTTATAATTTTAGTTCATATTTAATTACCACCTAAGATGTAAACTAGTTTTGCTTAAAGGCTATGGAATTGATTATTGCAGTTAAATTTTACTTCTCAAACCTTGTGTTCACAGAAAGTTCAGCATCCTCCATCAAGTCACCTACAAACACTGCTTTGATCTCAAAAGAGACAACCCCAGTGGCACAAAATGCAGCCCAGGTATGGATCAGAAATGCTCTGCCAAAGGATATGCATTCTCAATTAAGTGGAAGTACCCATTGTACTTACACAGAAATATTTGGGTCACATTTCAGCTTGTACTTTTTAAAAATGTGGTATTATGCATCTACTTATTTATGGAATCAAAATAATTTAATTGACTTTTCCAGAAACTCTGGAGGTTAAATATGTATATTTTTTTACCCAACAAAAGATTCTTAATAGTAGCCATTGTTGATGAAGGTGGAGGGAAATGGGTATTCTTATACCCATTTCCCACACACCCACACACTTTTCATGAAAATCAGCAAAATGTTTGGGGACACAATTTGGAAATGAGATGGAATATCCAGAGCGTCTGGGACCTAATCCATTCTGGGATTAGTGATATTCCAGAGTGTAGAAATCTTAATGCCAAAAGAAGCTTATGCTTAAAAAGACTGGATCCAGCCCCACATATTCCTGAAACATCCTTTTGTTCTTAAAATTTTGATAAATGGATCAAAGAACAGGAAGTTTATTTAGAACTGCAGTTGAGCGCTTTAATCAAACCTGCCAGTCCAGCTTGCTAAACTTTATAAATGTCTTTCTAGGTTCTTGAGTCCTTTGAACACTTGCCACCTCTCCCAGAGCCACCACCACTACTACCTGAACTGGTAGACAAAATCCGAGACACACTTCCTCCCCAGAAGCCTGAGCTCAAAGTGAAACGGGTGCTGAGACCCAGGGGCATTGCCCTGACTTGGAACATCACCAAAATCAATCCCAAGTGCGCTCCCGTGGAAAGCTATCACCTCTTCCTCTGCCATGAGAACCCGAACAATAAGTTGATTTGGAAAAAAATTGGAGAAATTAAAGCTTTGCCACTCCCAATGGCCTGTACTTTATCTCAATTTTTAGCTTCCAACAAATACTATTTTACTGTCCGATCAAAAGACATTTTTGGGCGATATGGACCATTTTGTGACATAAAATCTATCCCTGGGTTTTCTGAAAATCTTACCTAAAAGTCTTGAGTAATTATATATTGTACAGCACTGTTTTGTTTTCATATTTGAGTTGTTGGTTTACAATGTTCTCTAACACTGTTTGCCATCTTAAAGGGCCAGTTGAGATTGTGAACCCTTTGTACAGGGACAGTTGTCTTCCCTATATTATCAGAGGCCTCTCATTTCATGAATTTCTGATTTGCGTTCAGTAAGTACTTCCAGCGGCTATGTTCTACAGCCTACGCTCTGGCGGACCCAGGTCGCGGAGCAGTGCTGTGCACAGTACCGCTGCTGACTGGGGGTCTGCTGCGCACTTCCATCCGGAGCCCTAGTGTGGAAGCCGCCACCCTTCCCTCTGCCGGCAATCCGCAGTTGGTGGTCGGTGCAGGTCGGTGAAAAATCCGCTCGTTAGGAGGCAGGCTCATCCCAGGGGTGCATCTCACCAAGATCTTATGTAAATAAGTGTCTTCTCATTCCATTCAAAATCTAAGGGCTATTAATTTGCCCTCTCCCTTATTTTTCTTTTTTGGTTATAGTCACTTGGGGAAAGAGTCTGGAGGTTTTCCCTAAATCTGTTTGTATATTTAGATATATATAATAAAATTAAACATTGTGTGCTGTGTACACAAAGCGTAGAGTATCTCTTACAAAAGCATTATCCAACCCACTGTTTCTGCTCCAGAAAATGGAGTTGTCTGCCTTAGGCTTAGGCTTTTATTTGTTGATTCTTTGGTGCTACTCTGTTCATCACCCGGCTGCCGTGGTTCCTCGGAGGAGCCTTGAAGGACCCCGAGAGGGGAGTCCCGGGCACACCCCTGTCTGAGGGGCACTGAGGTGAAGCTGTGGCTAGCACAGGTCGCCCAAGAAGCTCAACGAGCGGGCACGCTGGAGAAGCGTGAGTCGGCCCAGTGCGATGCTGAGAAAACAAACGTAACTGTTAGTGTGAAGAACAGTCTGCCCGCCAGAGGCGTTCTTTCCTGGTACGTGGTGAATGTTCAGTCCTAGAGGCTCTGAGATTTCAAAAATTGAACGAGGAGTGGTTTTCTTTGGCATTTTACGAATGTCTTCACATCTTTGGTCATAAATAAAGCTATTATTTTTCAGTCTCCTGTGTCTTTATCTTCTAAAACATTACCACTGGAGGGGCACCTGGGTGGCTCAGTCGTTAGGCGTCTGCCTTCAGCTCAGGTCATGATCCCAGGGTCCTGGGATCGAGCCCTGCATCGGGCTCTCTGCTTGGTGGGAAGCCTGCTTCTCCCTCTCCCACTCCCCCTGCTTGTGTTCCCTCTCTCGCTCTGTCTCTCTCTGTCAAATAAATAAATAAAATCTTTAAAAATAAATAAATAAATAAATAAATAAAACATTACCACTGGAAAAGCCAGATCTGAACTGAATTTGAGATGAGCTGCCCTCTGTGAGGCCCGGTTTCAGACTCAGAGCAATGGTGAGCATCCTGCAGCACAGGACAGGGGCTTCATTTAGAGGACCGTTACACCCTTGCGGGGAGGATGCAGACTAGACATTCACGTACGAGCCAAGCGAAGCCCAAAGACTTGACACCATAAACAAGATTTAGGTGTGCATCACCAAAGTGAAACTGCATCCCCAACCAGCACATCTTCTGGAATGTTGGTGGCTGCACAGGGCTTGAAAGCAAGTGCTTTCAAAATAATAGGATGAGTGAGGAAGGCTGATAGTAAGCATCTTAGGGCTGGTGTCGCAAGAAGCATTAATGTTTCTTGCCTTTTGGAAAGTGCAAGATTCTCAACTGTTATCCATGGCACCACAAGAGAGACAGCCTAAGGACAAGAAAGATCTAGTACACAGTACAGACGGAAATGGATGCCCTGATTTTAGGCAGAAAGGGTGAAAGCAAAGAGGTCTTCCTGTGCCCACTATTTCTCAGTGGCCTTTGGCTCAACACCATCCTTATGCCCGAGGAGCATATTTGGGTTTCCTTCATGGATAGAAGTATCAGGTAGTTGCATCTCTCCCCCGACAGAAATCTCATATGAGGCCAAAAGGTAGGAAATGATGGAATTGGATTTTAGGGCTGCATTATCGGACTTTTTTTTTTTTTAATTCAATTTTACTCCACCCTCTGGATTTGTGGTAATGGGTAATATGTAAAAGTGTCAATCTCTGAATTTCTGTCACCTCAGCCTCTAAAGATTGCAGGAAGTTGATTCAATAAGGCTGATCTCAAGGGACACAGCTGTAGATGCTGTTACCAATCACTGGGGCAAGGACCCATGTCGAAGTTCTTTTCCTTCGATGGAGGGAAGTAACATCTGATCTGTGAGGATAATATTTCTATACTCAAGATTTACAGTTAAGACTATTTCCAACCCAATTCTATTCCCCTGGATTTGGGGGGAGTCTAGTGTGTGCAGTTGGACAGGTTGAATGGAATGGATTTAGCCAAGATAACACAAGAGGCAGAGGGTACTTGATTTTTGCAATATAATAAGAGTTTTAACTCTTTGGATGCAAGGGAATACTCAGCTTGGGGAAAGGAGTACCTAATGGTAGGAGCGATCTGTGCGACTGGTGTCCAGAGTGCCTTGAAGAAAGTGTACATATACAGCACAGGGGATGGAAGCCACACATGGGGGTAATTACTTGGGGTCATGAGTATTTTCTGGCCTGTCTGCAAATGAACCTGATCATCACAGCTTGCGGTCAGCTCCCATTGAGCAAACTATGCTTCTCTCTCCATGAAAAAGAAATTGTCCCATAGTTAGGGACACCCATCTCTTGCTCACCCATCTCTTGCTCACAGATAGGGACCCACAAGTGGCAAGCAGAGATATTTGGGTAATTCAGCAGTAGGATATGAGACCTTGTTTCAGCCCAATGGGCTCTGTATAAAACCAGTTTGGTAAATTTATGGGCAGGGCTTATTCCTCTGAGCAAAACAGAGGCCAGGTGTGCGTAGGCTGCATTATAGCCCAAGACAGAGGAGAAATTCTTAGCAGTTGTGCCAAGAGGTTTATGACATGGGAAAGGTTTGGGACATGAAGCTCAGCCAACCCAAAATTGTTTTCACCAATTCATTAAATTTTCCCAGTGGAATATTCATGTATTCATTCATCAAGGAATTATCGAACATCCGCCATATGCCAGACACCAGGCCAGGGGCTAACATGGAGAACAAGAGTAGATACCAGGGTGCCTGCCTGGCTCAGTCAGTTGGGCGTCTGCCTTCGGCTCAGGTCACGGTCTCAGGGTCCTGGGATCGAGCCCCACATCGGGCTCCCTGCTCAGCAGTGAGTCTGCTTCTCCCTCTCTCTTTCTGCCCCTCCTCTCAGCTCGTGCTCCCTCTCTCTCTCTCACTCGCTCGCCTGCTCTCACTCTCAAATAAATAATAAACAAAATCTTTAAAAAAAAAAAGTAGATACTGTCCCTGCCTTTTTGGAACTGACCTAAGGACATTAACAAGTAAAAAGTAAACACACAGGATTTTCAGAGAGCGACACAATGATCCACGAGGAAACTGAGCAGGGAGATATGGTGGAGCATGATGGTGAGGCTACGTGAGACGGGCTTCTCATGGAGAGCTTCTTGGAGGGGGAGGCACTTAGGCTTGAAGGATGAGAAGGGGCAAGACATAAGGATGTCAGCTGGAAGGGTTAGTGCCAGGTCAAGGGGTTTAACCCACACTCAAGAAAGTCCTCTAAAGGAATAGGATTTGGGTCCAAGGGGATCCCATGGGCCAGTGAAATGCAGTGCATGATTCTTAGTGGATCCTGGATTTAGAAAAACAGCTCTAGAGGACATCATTTGGACAACTGGCAAAGTCCCAACTATAGACTATATAGGTAATAGGTTTGTGTTCATGTTAAAGATGCACATTTAACTCCATGCCTTGATGTCTGCAACTAACAAATGGTTTAAAATATTTACACACACAAAGTTCAAAGCAAATATGACCGCAATGTTAACAGCTGGTGAATCTAAATGGAAAGTGTATGGCTGTCATGTTATTCTTGCAACATTTCTGTAGGTTGAAACTTTTCAAAATAAAAAGTTGGGGGACAAAACAATGGATCGCTGAACTCTTCCAGTCCATGGAGGGTCTGGAAATCCTGATTTAGCTGAGATCTGCAAAACAGGTAGAGCTCACCAGGTTAACAGCACAGAGAAGAACATTTGCAAGAGGCAGGTGGTTCAGGGTAGTTCAGGGAGGCCTACAGAGGTTGGCAGGGGCTAGAGCATGGACAGCCAAGTGTCGAGGACCTCCCATGCTACCTGGTCTCCTGCAGCACGGCCTTGCCTCCCCGCCATCCAGAAAGACAGTCTGTCTCTCCATCTCCTTGACTCTGGGCAGGTCTAGGACTGCTTTGACCAATGGAACACAGCAGAAGCGATACTAGGGCACCTCTCGGAGCTGGCCTGGCAGCTTCTACTTCCTGCTTCTTGGAAGCCAGCCACTGTCTAAAAAGTGCAACGACCCCAAGATCACCTTGCCGCAAGAAGCCCATTCAGGAGACCTTTGAGGACAAGATGTCACATGGTGGCAGGGGGGAGGCCCGTGAGTGAGGAAGCCATCTTTGAAGCAGATCCTGGGTTTCAAACGCCCCAGCTGAAGTCATGGGAATCAGACAAATAGTTCAGCTGAGCCCCACTCAAATTCCTGACCCACAGTACAGCAAAACAAAAACTATCTAAGCCTCTAAATCTGGGGCTTGTTTATGAGGCAGCAGCAGGACCTGAGATACTGTTAGAGACTGGTAGTCCATGTTAGGAAGTTGGGTCGTTATTGTATATAATGCTGCTATAAACATAGGGGTGCATGTATCCCTTTGAATTAGTGTTTGTATTTTTGGGGTACATACCCAGTAGTGCGACTACTGGATCCTAGGCAGTTCTATTTTTAACTTTTTGAGGAACCTCCATACTATCTCAGTATTTACAATAGCCGAACTATGGAAACAGCCCAAGTGTTCCATCGACTGATGAATGGATAAAGAAGAGGTGGTACAGATATATAGTGGAATATTATTCAGCCATAAAAA